ATGCGAATACCATTCGTTTTCTTTCGCGAATATAATCGTCTCTTCTTCTTTTCCCATTCTCTACTCTTATCTCATATATTTTCTCTTCTTATACTTTGTGCATGTCTTTCTCTTATTCTTACTCTGCTTTTCTCATGTCTCTTACTTTTAGCATGCCTTCTCATACTCTTCTTACACTCCATCTCTCTATTATCATCTTCTCATGCCTCAACATTCTACTCTTCTATAGACACAATAGTCAAATCTCATATGATAGGCTCAAAGTCAAATATCTCTAAATTTTGGGTTCTTACAGCTGTTGTGGTTAGATTTGTTGATGTGACCACTTAAACCAGCTAAAATAAAATTTAGTGACTAAAAAGACAGATCGCTTCCAACCTCATACCCATAAAGCCAAAAATACTTTAGTGACTATTTAGACAAATTCCTAAAAGTGCATATGGCTATAATGTTATTTTCCCTCCAATCCTCAAATGCTCCGACTCTCATTTTAAGCCTTTAATTCTTTATTCACATTTAACAAAAAAATTTCAAGATGGCAAGAATATTCAGTCCCTACTCAATGCGAATACCCTTTGTTTTCTTTCACGAATATAATCGTCTCGACACAATCATTTCTTTATAAACTCTATAAAAGTTATTGATTATAGTGTGATATTTGCTTTTTATTTATTTTTTGTCATTTCAGTCATTGACCTTACCTTATTGGATTTTATTGATTTAATAGGCTAAAACTTGATGTAAATCAATCTATTTCTAAGGAAACAAATTGAATTGCTAGTTTTAGGTGTTTACGAGGTGGTTTAGAATGGTTGGTTACCTTGATGAAAATTTAGCGATGGAGGATTTGTCTAGTTAGGGTTATGCACGTGGTTCACCATCGCCGTCGTGTCACACTCCTGAATCAGCAAGGTCGGTTGATTTTTTAACTAATCCCCCCAAACCCCTCCAAGCCTCCTCTTTTCTTCTCCACCGCCACCGCCTCCGCCTCCACCATTTCCGCCTCCTCCTCCAAGCTTTCCATATATTTCTTTCCATCTCACTGATCTCCGCCGCTGTTTACTAAACTTCGAGATTTGAGAAGATGAACATCTATAGAGGAATTTCTCGCATGTCGAGAATAACGAGCTGTTACAACCGTTGTCGATGGTTGCACAACTCTTCTCCGCATCACCAATTGTCTCACTCCAGTCCCTTCAAGTCTCCCATGGAGCCCTCTGAAAAGGTAAACCCTTTCACGAACGTTCGCTTTTCCTATTTTTGAAACCATAACAAATTGGTAGCTATCGTTGTGAAATTGTTGTAAATTTGCAAACTACTGTTTAATCCTGCCTTATTCTCCCTCGATCGAAAAAGTTCCATGGCCATTGACCTGTTCAATTTTGTGAAAATGATATGGATTTTTTTTTTTTTTTTTTTTTTTTTGATAACAAGTATGATATGGATTTGTAAACATTATTCCCCCTTCCTCGCATCAAAATTCCAAAATACGAAATGTTTCTATGGTATTGTATTGATTTAGGTATCAGGTTTCCTTTACTTTCTTTTACGCAAGGGAATTCAGCTATTGGCCATATTTGGAACAATTTCACAACTCAAGCTTTCCAATTTTCGTGGGACAAAGATCATTTTTTTTGGAATTTGGAAATTAGTAAGCTTGAGATAACTTGTAGCTCAAGTTTTGCAAAGGCGATTACGTTTTTATCATATTCAATTTATCACACCAACATGTAAAAGATTTCTAAAAGAGTATAAAGATCACTAACTATATCTTATTTTGGTGCTTCTAGTTCTTATCTCATGGTTTTTATGTAAATCTTGTTATTGTTTTGGGTAATTAGTAGGTTTTGGGTTGCAGAGTAATCTACCCCTGGATTTCACGCCCCTTTAGTTCTGGTGGACCTCAACCCCAATATGATAGATCTTCAGTTGAGGTAAGTGAATGCAAGGTTTTCACATTTTACTAATTTGCCCTTGTTTATTTATATTTTTTCTTTTTATTCAGGATCAAGTGGATCCGTTTTCTCTAGTTGCTGATGAACTATCAATTGTAGCTAATAGGCTGCGATCAATGGTGGTTGCTGAGGTATATCTTTAATAACTACTTTCTTTCAACATTATTTCCTCAAAGGGTATATTTGTAATTAACCGAATTATACAGGTGCCAAAGCTTGCTTCAGCAGCTGAGTACTTCTTTAAAATGGGAGTTGAAGGGAAGAGGTTTCGACCCACTGTAAGTTTATTTTTATTTCTTTGATTATTGATATCATATTATCATGTTATTGTTGTAAAATATTGAAATTGTTTTATTTTTTTTTTTCAGGTTATTTTATTAATGGCAACAGCTTTAAATGTTCAAATTTCTAAACCAGCATCAGAAGGGGTTGTGGATATGTTCTCAACAGAGTTGAGGTTGAGACAACAATCGATTGCTGAAATCACAGAGATGATTCATGTTAGGTTTTTTTGAATATTGGTTTTAATATTTCTTTTTACAATTGTATTTTCTTAGAAAGAAAATAATTTTTTTTTTTAATCTCAGGTTGCTAGTCTCCTTCATGATGATGTATTGGATGATGCTGATACAAGACGTGGGATTGGATCTCTTAACTTTGTAATGGGAAATAAGGTGTTAAATCTTTATCATAAAAATAAAATAAACAAGGGCAAATTAGTAAATATGAAACACTTGTATATTTGACTAATGAAACACTCGATGCAGCTTGCAGTATTGGCTGGAGATTTCTTGCTTTCTAGAGCTTGTATAACCCTCGCCTCCTTAAAAAACACAGAGGTATCCATAATCCACTATTCCACTCCATTAATATCTTTATTTTTATTTTAATTTTTAATTTTTAATAACCTCTCATTATATTCTACTTTTTTTTATTTTTAAAAAAATTGTACAGGTTGTATCACTAATAGCAACAGCTGTGGAGCATCTTGTGACAGGTGAAACAATGCAAATGAGCACGTCAGCAGAGCAGCGTAGTAGGTATTATATTTATAGCATCATACTTTCATTTCTTCCGAAAATACCCCTGTGAAGCTTCTCCTAACTCCTGTCATGTATAACAAATTTTCTTGCAATATATATATATTTTTTGGTTGCAGCATGGATTACTATTTGCAGAAGACGTATTACAAGACTGCTTCATTAATTTCAAACAGCTGTAAATCCATTGCTCTTCTTACTGGCCAAACTGCTGAGGTTGCCATGCTAGCATATGAGTACGGAAAAAATCTTGTAAGTATCTCACTCGATACACAGTAACTCAGACTTAGCATTGTTTCAGTACACAGTAACTCAGACTTATCTTTGTTTCAGTACATAGTACACAATACATAACTTAGACTTATCTTTGTTTCAGTACACAGTACACAATACATAGTAACTCAGACTTAGCATTGTTTCAGTACACAATACACAGTAACTCAGACTTATCATTGTTTCATTGAAGCAGTAACTCAGACTTATCATTGTTTCATTGAAGCAGTAACTCAGACTTATCATTGTTTCAGTACACAATACACAGTAACTCAGACTTATCTTTGTTATAGTACACAGTACACAATACACAGTAATGCAGACTTATCATTGTTTTAGTACATAGTAACTCAGACTTATCATTGTTTTAGTACATAGTAACTCAGACTTATCTTTGTTATAGTACACAATACACAGTAACACAGACTTATCATTGTTTTAGTACACAGTAACTCAGACTTATCTTTGTTATAGTATGCAATACACAATACACATTAACTCAAACTTATCATTGTTTTAGAACACAACTAACTCGTGACTTATCTTTATTTCAGTACACAGTAACTCTGATTTATCTTTGTTTTTTTGTTTGTTTGCAGGGTTTGGCATTCCAATTAATTGATGATGTACTTGATTTCACTGGCACATCATCATCTCTAGGGAAGGGTGCATTATCTGACATTCACCATGTAATAATTTTACATTTCTTATTGTGTGCTTTTTTATAGATTGTGTTTGAGGTTACATTCTGATAATTTTGTTTATTTGTATATTCTAGGGAATTGTGACAGCTCCAATATTATATGCAATGGAGGAGTTTCCCGAACTACAGACAGTTGTCGACAGGGGATTGGATGACCCTGAAAACGTGAATCTTGTAAGCTTCTTTTACTACTTTTAATTGATTTGTGTATAATACTTATACTTAATACTAATACAGGCTCTGGAGTATCTTGGAAAAAGTCATGGAATACAAAGAACAAGAGAACTAGCAGCAAAGCATGCCAGCCTGGCATCTGCTGCAATTGATTCCTTGCCTGAAAATGATGACGAGGACGTTCAAAGATCTAGGCGGGCCCTTATAGAATTGACACACAGAGTTATCAATAGAACAAAATGAAGAAAAGATCAAGGTCAAGATAAATATATATATGGAAGATTATGTTTTATTGCAGTTGTAGTAGCTTTTTAAGCCACAGCTCAGTGGGTTTGTTGATTATTCATTTTCTTGTTTAATAACGAGTGATTACTCAATAATGATTATACACCACAAGCTTTTAAGAAAGAGATATAATTTGGGGGAAGGATGGAGTTTTATTTTACATCTTAGGTCTATATGAAGTATGCAAGGATGTAGCTTTGCTTTTCATTTAAATCATTTTCTACTTACTAAAGTCGATTAACAGGTTATAAGTCTAGTTGAGTCAAAAAAGAGCAGTCCAAAATTGTCATTTCCAAAGTGGGCCAAAAGTTTCCAAAACAAAACATCGTTGGGAATTATTGTAAACATCTTAAAGCAAAAGTAGTATATATTTTAATGTGGGTTAATGTTGTAAACAACTTCAACTGATGTCTAGATGTTTGGTGTAAAGACTTATCCAATTGCAACAATCTTTGGAAGACTTGAAGAAAAGGAAGACAATATTGCTTGAAGTTTAAAAGTTGAAGTTAATTCCAAAAAGATATAATCAAATACAATTGATACAAATTAAATATTTAAATTTAAATTATCCCTAAAAGCCAAGGATCTAATTAGAACACACTAATTCCACTCACCAAAATTCAACCTTATATTTGTTGTCCGGATCAAACCTTTTGAATCCACTTTTCTTTTTCATGCCAAAGATGCGCACATGGGTCGACCAAAATAAATCAACTATAAGGGGGAATTGTAGAGTAACAAAAGATGAAATCGGGATCAAAGCCAATGCGCATATTGGAGCAAGCATCCATGGTTTTTTATCACAAAAGACAAGAAACAATGTTGCACTGAAGGCTACCATCATAGCAGTTGTCGAGAGCAATAAAGCACAAAGACCAATAAGCAATCGTCTTGGAAGACTGACTAAAAAATCTTTTTCAGAAAAACGTGCAGTTAAGATCGATAAGAACACTAGTAATGCTGTACTAGATGTAAATAGTGAGATTGCATCTGATATAGCAAAAATAGTGAACGCGATATCACTTCTAAACAAAGGAGTCCCTGTTTCCTGATGGGTCCCACCGGGTACTGTAATTGCTGCTGCAAATACAATTGTGGTAATTAATGCTGCAGTGATGCTGCATGATTCTGCTGTGGTTTTCATCCACTTTTCTCCTTCTTTCAACAAGTTTTCGTGTTCCCTTGTGAACACCATATCTGGTGTTTCCTTAAAAATGTTCTCTTGAGTGATGTATGTAGGAAACACGAGTTTCTTCACCTCCTGGAATATTAGATTAACTTGTTTATACTATTATACAAAATTCTTTTACATTATGATGTTATGAATTATTTAGGGTGTGTGATGGAAAAATTGAGTCGTTTTTTGGAAAAAAAAAAAATCTAAGAAAAAAATGAGAATTTTGAAAACATGTTTAGTTTTAAAAATTTTCTAAATTTTTCATGGAAAATAAATTTTTTTTCGTTTTCCAAAATTACAAGGAATTTAGAAAATTTAAGAAAACTAATAATTATTGTTTTCGATATTTTTTTAATTCCAAAAATTTTCAAAAATATAAACACACAACATCCCCAACCTACTACACTCCTACCCACCCAGTCCTAAACCCCACCCCACCTTACCTCACCTCCACCCCCACTCCCCACAAACACACACCCACACACCACCATCACTACCACAATCAGACCTATCATCACCACCACCACTATCCATCACCACAACCACCACCACCACCGTCGCCATCATCCACACCACCACTGTCACTGCTGCCGCCGCCCCCACCCCCACACCCACAACTGCCACCACCACCCCACCCGCACACCTCCACTACGTTTTCTAAAAAAAGAAAACCGATAGAAAAATACACATCTAAACACTTTTTCTAATTTTCTAAAACCAAAAATGAAAAAGGAATAAGTTTGAACTAAACACGTTTTCTGAATTATCCAATGAAAAGTGAAAACGAAAAACTGTTTTTCCATAACTAAACGCAACCTTAATCCTTACCTCTTGCCATTGAAGTTCTCGTTGTAGTTGTAATGCTGCACCTGTTCTACGATTGAGTTCATGTGAAGGAGCCAACTTTCCAGCCAAATGCAAGATATTGTTCATAGAAGAATCAACAATTGTTCTATAAAGATTCTTACGTTCCCCAATGTCATAGATAAGGTTGTAAATTTCAACTGAACGATGTAGAACTGCTAACTGAATGATGTCATATCCACTTTTATTTGTACATTGAATTGCTTCAGGTGATCTAGACAAAATCTCATGAACAACCTTAAAAGTATTTTGACATGCGGCTTCAAGAATTGGTCGAGTGTAATAGGGATGATGTGTTCCAGAGTATCCTAAATTGTCTATTTCATCACACACCAATCTTAGAACCTTTTCTGCTTCTTCACATTCTTTCTTCTTTTTCTCAATATGCTTTATGGGTGCAACTACAAGTTAGAAAATTATCGATTAAAAGAACAACAATTAACGTTATGTTAGAAATTAAATCTCATGCATAAACCCACATGTGGTTCTTACCGAGTTTCGATGCAGCCTTCCACAAGGCGAAATAGGGCAGAAGGAATAAGAAACAGAACATCAATAAGAGGAGGTATATGGAGTAATAGAAGAATGTAGGTATAGCTAGTGTAACTGCATACGCATAAAAAATTATTAGTAGAATAAAATTCACTTCGAATTAAAACATAAATAAATTGCTCACCCATTATGACTACTTCCAGTATGAAATCTTCTGATGGGTCACCCCATATAAATTCGTATATCATTATCGGGATGCAAAGAACCGCAGACCCAACCATTACAGCTGCATAACGTGTCGTTTGCCAAAAATTGCTCAAAGCTAAATAGAAAAATGTCAATCACTCACCTTAGGGAGGAGGGAGTCGTTCCCTCCCAACCCACCGAACCCACTGCCACATCAATTTTTCTCTTTTATTTTTTCTTCATTTTTCTGAACCCACAACACACGGAATCCTATCTTTTTGAACCCACTCAACCCACTCAATTAAAAAAAATACAAAACAACTAAGGTACAAGTTTTAAAACACATGGTACAAGAGTAAATAAGAAAGAGAAAGTAGAGAGAGATGATGAAGTGGGTTAGTGAAACCAATCAACCCACTCGTTGAAGCGGGAGTGGTACCGCCGATAACTCTATTGCTAATTAAGATTTTACATTTGATTGTTTTGTATTTTTTTTTAATTGAGTGGGTTCAAAAAGATAGGATTTCCGTGTGTTGTGGGTTCGGAAAAATGAAGAAAAAATATTAGAGAAAAAGTTATGTGGCAGTGGGTCCAGTGGGTTGGGAGGGAATGACTCCCTCCTCCCTTATTACCCTTAAAATAAAAACAGAAATAAATAATAGTAAAAAAATGAAACCACTTCTATCATATTAGAAACTTACAGGGATAGATAAGTGTTTCTCCATAGTCCAACCCACTTGGAAAGGTTTTAGCGATAGCCATAAGTACACCGTCATTTATCACAGCAAATTTAGGAAAATTTTCAATCAACTCTGAGGCTAAATCTGTAAGCATAAAATAAATGAAAATTTTGAGCATCTAGAACCCCACCCTGTTTTTGGTATTACACTCTATTTATAGAGTGTAAAATAGAGTAAAAGGTTCAACCCAACTCTATTTTACACTCTATAAATAGAGAAATGTATAGTGACACTTTAAATTTGGAGTGTAAACTACACATACTCTATTTTTAAAGTGTAAAACAAAATTTAGAGAAAGATTGGAGTTAAACCACTCTAAACTCTATTTTACACTTTAAAAATAGAGAAATTAATAGTTTCACTCTCAATTTGGAGTGTAAACTATACAATCTTCCACACATTCTATTTTTAGAGTGTAAAACAGAATTTAGAGTGCGGTTGAAGATGAACCACTCTAAACTTTATTTTACATTTTAAAAATAGAATGTAAAACAGAATTTAAAGTGTAGTTAGAAATGACCACTCTAAACTCTAATTTAGACTCTAAAAATGGATTGTGGTTGGAGATGCTCTTATGTGATATGTTAACTCGGCTACTTACTGTATTCCTTTGCAAAAATAGCATTAACAAGAAGGTCAACGCCTACTTCAACACCAGGATCAGGGTGAGCAGTGTCCCCTAAATGAAAAGATGCTGACTTGGTCTTTCCACCATCATCCATAGCTTTAAACAAATATCCAATGGTATCAAGATGCATATGTTCATAAGCTTTATGCAAAGCTTCATCCCCTTTATGGTCTTTAATTCGTAACAAGTCTTTGTTCTTTTCAAGCAAGAGACGCGCTGCATATCTATTCCCAACAATTGCAGCGATATGAAGGGCTGTGCTTCCATCTGAACTTCTCCTTTCAAGTACATCTTCATCATTTACATACGAAAGTAATATTTTCACAAAATAGGTATCACCTATTGCAACCGCTAGGTGAATTATTGTGCTTCCGTCATTCTTGATTGCCACTCTCACTGCATCTTTATTCTTTTTCAGTATGGGTTCTGCTCGATGCCAATACCCCTTCACAACAGCTCTATGCAACTCCTCGAGTTCTTCCTTGTTTAAGCCTTCTGTTTTGGTTTCTTTGTCACTATCGTTTGTTTCTACATCTATCGTGATTGTGTCTTTGACATTTAGTTTTGCTTCTGTTGCAACCTTATGATCTATGTCTTCGGTTTTCATTTTTTCTTCTAGTTTTGTTGGGGTTTGATCTGAACACCATGTTGAAGGGATATATTATATAGAAGAAAATGAAGATGTATTGAATAAGTAGCACATACCTTGTTGAGTTGTATCATAGAAGGATTTCAGTTTGTCCCAAACATCTTTGGCTGAAATGAGGTCAACTACAGCACCAAGTACATTTTGGCTAACTGAACCAAAGATCCAACCTTTGAGAAGACTGTCGTATTGGTCCATAATCTCATTGCTTGAAGCTCTGGGACCCACAATTGAGTCATCAACGAGGCTAACCATATTGTGGCTCTTCATGAGACAAAGCATCTGTGTCTTCCAAATATGGTAGTTGCGTTCACTCGAAAGCTTCACAGAAACAAAGTTGGAAACGTTGGCGATTGATGCGTACAAGTAGTTATGGTCTTGTATTTGTTCTGAAGCATAAGGAGGGGAAGGAAGAGGAAGAGGGTTTGATGAGCTTGCCATTGTATACAGATAAATCGATGGAGAAAAGCTAGGTATGTTTAAAGTAGATGTAGTTCAAGTTTTATAAAAGCATCCAGTATTTCCAAATTCATGAATGTGGTAAACAAATCAAAGCATTCTAGTGGCATGGGGATTACAGGGCCCATGCCATTAATGTCGATTTGCCAATTTGCGATGTTCAAATTGATAAACCAGCTTCAAGCGCCGCCGGCGCACACGTATTTTGCACATAGTGTTCAAATTTTCATTTATAACCCTTGGTTTTACAGAATGTTTCTCATTATGATCTTTCTCAAAAGTTTCTTTTATGCCAAAACATTTTTACTTAAGTAAAGAGTACCTTAACCGCCACTTCTCCCTCTTTTCACTCCGAGCTTTGTTTTTTGCTCAATTACTATTCCCTTAAAATAAGCAATTGATTTTTTAAAACGATTTTTTTATCCCACGAAACTTATTATGAATCTACTCTAATAAATAAAAATATTTTTTGTGGCATACTACACTCTCATTAATTTTGACACATGTAATTTTGTGGTTAATTTTTAGAAACTAATTTACATTTGTCATTTTGTGGTAGTTTTCAATTTTCTTAATTAACTATTCTACTTTTAGGTTATTGAAAGTAATTAATATCTACTCTAATAAATAAAGATATTTTTTGTCACATGTCACACTCTCATTAATTTTGACACATGTAATTTTGTGGTTGATTTTTAGAAATTAATTACATTTGTCATTTTATGGTAGTTTTCAATTTTCTTAATCAACTGATCTAATTTTAGGTTATTGAAAGTAATTATCTACTCTAATAAATAAAGATATTTTTTTGCCACATGTCACATTCTCATTAATTTTGACACATGTAATTTTATGGTTAATTCTTAGAAATTAATTTACACTTATCATTTTGTGGTAGTTTTCAATTTTCTTAATTAACTATTCTAATTTTAGGTTATTGAAAGTAATTAATATCTACTCTAATAAATAAAGATATTTTTTGTCACATGTCACACTCTCATTAATTTTGACACATGTAATTTTGTGGTTGATTTTTAGAAATTAATTTAATGAAACATCCCTAAAATACGGTCCAAAAATTTCATTTCAAATCATTAATAAAACCATAGTTATTAAAATCATTCCTTCAAAATCATAAGTCACCACATCAAATCAGAGTATCATATCAAAACAAATGTTCATTATATCAGAGTAAAACATCTCAGGCTAAAACATCTTGGTGTGTGCAATGCAGTCATCCCGAGCTCTTCCCTCCGCTACCGGAAGTACCTGAAACAAAAACTGAAAGCCGTAAGCACGAAGCTTAGTGAGTTCCCCAATCTACCACATACCATACATACAATCACATACACTGGGCCCCCGCCTGCTGCATCGGGACTTGCCCGGCATCGGACTTGCTCCGGCATCAGACCCCGCCTGGCATCGAGCCCCGCTCGGTATACAGATCTGTTTCTCTTAGGCCCCACCTGTCTCTGGGCCTCGCCCGCTATCTACATACAATAACATAAACATACTAACACATAAAGAAACATACTCTAATGTATTCCTGTTATAAGGCCTCGCCTAACTTGGGCATCGCCCCTGTCCTGCTACTGATGAGTCATGGAACCCCATCCATGCTCCTGCTGTAAGTGAGATACGGGCCCCCGCCCACACTCACTTCTCTCCCTACCATAGGCCTCGCCCCTGTTCTGCTAATGATGAGATATAGAACCCCGTCCATACTCAGCTAGTGATGAGATACGGGACCTCGCCCACACTCGCCTCCCTAGCAGGCACATACAAGTATCACGTAGACAACAGGTATAATCTAATATGCAACGTATTAACATTCCTCGGGCTTGCCCCGACATCGAACCCTAGTCCGGAACATACTACCATATAAGCATTCCTCGGGCTTACCCCGGCATCAGACCTTAGTCCGGAAACTACAATATCGACACATGCAAGAATCACAAAGACCTCTAGCATACTAACATACCTCGGGCCTCGCCCGGCATCGGATCGTAATCCGGAACATATATCATAAAAAGTCCTAGGGATAACCCCCGGGTCTTCCTACTATACACAAACATAATGGGTCGGCATTGTGGCCGTAGACCCATGCACACAGTGAGGAGACTCACCTTGCACTGCTGAAGTCCTGCTGATACTCCTCTGGCTGCTAACTTGCAATTCCCCCGAACTGCTGCTCCTTCGGCTCCCCGAGCTATCAGTAACGAAAACGACACTTAGTCCCAAAATGCCCTCAAAGTCAAACTAGGTCATCCTTAGTCAAATTCAAAGTCAACGGTCAAAGTCAACGCTCCGGGTTGACTCAACTCGCAGAGTTGCTCCATCAACTCGTCGAGTTCTAAAACTCAGATTCTTGAATTCGCGATCCAACTCGTCGAGTCAGCCCCTGACTCGTCGAGTTCCCTGACTACTCATGGTCGCGACTTATCACATCAACTCGTCGAGTTCTAACATAACAGAAAACGGAACAATCCACTTCGACTCGTTGAGTCCCTTCCTGGACTCGACGAGTCCCTTAGTTTGATTGGACCATCTTAATAGATTAAGCCCCTACACTCCATATCTAAATCCCAAACTTCCTCTACATGCTAGAAATGACCTCTTAAGGGTAACTTTACCCACTCCAAATCCTTCTTAATGGGTTTAGCTCAAAACCTTAGCTCCTTAAGGCATAAATCTTTGTCCAACAACCTTATTACTCCAATCCAAAATAGAAGAACCAAGACCTAAGCCCTAAACACCCAGTAAACACGTAAAGCCTCAACCTTTACTTTCATGCATGGCCCTTTGGGGCTTAAAAGGCCATACCAACATACTTAGGGTTTGCATGGAACTCCAATGGCATAAAGTTTGCACCTTTATGCCTTCACAACCCTCAAAGACTTCAGATCTGAAAGTATAATCAATTTGGGGCATCCATGACTCATAAATCATACTTCTTGGACAAAAACTCCATAAAGGTGACCATAAGGAGATCTAAGAAACTACAAGGCAAGATAGGAGCTTGATTACCAGAAAGTGATAAGAATGGGGCGAGATTCCTGGATCTACAACTTCTCCTTGAACCTTCAAACTCCTTCTTCTTCTTCTATGCTTCAAGAACAACTTATATCACCCAAAAATGGCTCACACACTCAATAAGAACTCTAGGGTTTCGTGGGTTAGGTTCTGGACAATAGGGGTTGTAAATGAGGCCAAGGGGTAGAGAATGAGATGCTTAAATAGGGTACATAAGCCCGAAATTAGGGTTTCCCAAACCCAGACCTACTCGTCGAGTTGGTCCTCCAACTCGTCGAGTAGATCACTTAACCCGCGACCCAAAATCCACTTTTACTCGTCGAGTTCCTCCCTGGACTCGACGAGTAGCCTTCTTGATTTAGGGTTTTCTTTCCTTTCTTGTTCTTCTGGATTCTGGGTGTTACATTTACATTTGTCATTTTGTGGTAGTTTTCAATTTTCTTAATTAACTATTCTAACTTTAGGTTATTGAAAGTAATTATCTACTCTAATAAATAAAGATATTTTTTGTCATATGTCACATTCTCATTAATTTTGACACATGTAATTTTATGGTTAATTCTTAGAAATTAGTTTACACTTGTCATTTTGTGGTAGTATTCAATTTTCTTAATTAACTATTCTAATTTTAGGTTATTGAAAGTAATTATTATCTACTCTAATAATTAAATATATTTTTTGCCACAGGTCACACTCTCATTAATTTTGACACATATAATTTGTGGTTAATTCTTAGAAATAAATTTACACTTGTCATTTTGTGGTAGCAATTTTCTTAATTAACTATTCTAATTTTAGGTTATTGAAAGTAATTAATGTGTCATTAACTTGTTTCTTTATATTTTCAAATTTTAATATGTTTCCTTCAATATATATAATTCAAAATTGACATGTTTCTTTCAAAGTGCATTGTCACTTTAGGTAAAAATGGTCTACATAGGAAAAATAATCAAACTTCGTTATTTTTCATTGATAAAACTAAAAAAAATGGTTAAACCACAAACATGACAAAAATATAATTATTTCTCTATAGTTAGTTTTATTAGCATAAATTGAATTATTTATTTCATCATCATTTTATTTGTATTTATTTTAAAATTTTACTTTAAAAAATAATTAATGTTTACACCTTGATATTTAACATTTTCTTTAAAAAAAATACTTAATATTTATATCTTCATATATAACTTTTTTTTAATCAACCTGTATAGTATATAGGTCTCAGAGCTAGTTTTAGGAAATAAAGCATGAAATCTTTTACCAATAAATCATGAAAGTAATTATCTACTGATTCAAAGGATTTTAGGCAATAAATCATGAATTGTAATCTTATCAACAATTAAAAACGATACTAGGTTTCATTCCTTTGTTTATATACTTTGTTATTATATAAATAAGATATCAAGTTGACTAAAATAGATTTATGACATTGATTTGAAGAATTTTTCGTTCTACCTTTGATTTCAGATGTGTTTGGAAAACCAACGGGTAAAAGAAAGTTATTAGTTGGTAGCTGATAACGTTTTGTTAAAAGTTATGTGAGATAGTTTTTAAATTTGAGACGTTTTGTTTAAACTAAACGCTAAAAGGTTGTAGTGCCAGACGAGATTTTTTGTTTGAAATTGAGCGTTTTGTCAAACGCTAGAAGCCAGAAGTCCCCAAACACTTTCAAACGCTACATGTCAAACATGACCTTCATGTTAGTAATAACAATTCTTCTATTACCGCTATACCATTGATTACCATGCCATTATACTCTGTATTATTTAATAACTGTAGCATTTTACTATTAAGAAAACGATTTGTGTTTGTTTTTTAAACTCATGTTTGTTTCATTTTGTCACTCGCTATATGTTTCTAAGAATCATAAAAAAAATGTAATAAGTAAAGCATTGTATATTAAGAATATGATTTCTATTTATTTTCTTTAAGTCATGTGTGTCTGATTTTGTAAATTGATCTATGTGTGTAGAAATCACAAAACAAAAAAAATAAAAATAATAATAAAAATAAAAATAAAAAAAATCTGATTTAACTTTGTAGTTTTATAAAACTATGCTTATTTTACTTTCACCGCATCTACTTCTTTGTATTTTCATGCGAGCAACTCTTATTTGATTTTTGTTTCGCTCGATTTACTAAAGGG